TTGTTAAAATCAAGACTTACTAAAGAAATGTGCTAATTTTAGGTTTTGCCAATTTAACTATTTACAGAACAATTAAGGAATATAAATAGACTGGAACAGTAAGATGTCCTAAAAATATTGGCGGTAGACCTTATATCCTTGCAACATACGATAATAAAGATAAAACATCTGTAGGACAGATATTATACAGCTTCTATTCCAAGAATGAAATGTCCACTTTAAATAAAATTTTAAGCGAATTTAACAACCGCCCAGATCTTCTAAATGTGTGTTTTTTGTTATTATATAAATTCTTAAAACAAAACAATTTGAAGTAAGTAAACAATAAATAATAAAGTAAATAACAATCCACCATTTTTTTATTGTAATTAGAAAAACGAAAAAAATTATATTGGAAGTAAATTGAAAAAAAAACATAAACAAACAAAATTGGGTTAGAATCGACGTGTGATGTTGTCCGATACTGATTACTGGATTACCGCAAGGCCGAGATAATCAACCAAAAAAAAAAAATTTAGTTTACTGCTTCTGGTTAAAAAACAAACCATAGTTACAATTGCTCAAGAAATAATTGAACATGGCAAGAGATTATTTTTATACTACTTTAAATGTATCAGAGATTCATTCACAAGTAATATTTCGTTTCAACCATCCAAATGAAAATATTTTGAGAAGACAATATTTGAGAGAACTGGCAAATGCATTATTACATTCTTATTTACAAGCTTGTGCTATAATGACAAATATACCAAGAAATCTTCAGTTTTCGATTAAGAGATCTGTGTGCCAATGAAGATGCTGTTCAACCTGCTCTTCCAAGAAATAATATACGTGGAAGATGCAGTTATAGTGACTGGAAAAAAACCGAAAAACAAAATATGTATACAGTTATTTGTCGATCTTGTCATGAAAATGCACAACAGGAGTAATGGCAATTTGGTCAATTGTTTAAATATTGTCTTATAGATATTTCAATATAAAAATAAGATTATAATTTTCATAACTTTGACATTTGTTTAGGAATGAAATTGTGAAGTTCTGCATTAAGAGTAACGCCAGTTTTAGTTTATCTGATTAAAATTACTATATGCGCCTTGTACTATATGTGTGTATTATTAATCATAAAAGTCCTAGTTGTTGTTTTCTAAAGACAGGTTTCATATTTTTTCCAAAAACAATGTTTAATAAATAGGCTAGGCGCATACACATCGAATTTGGACGGTCGATAAAAGTTCGATCGAACTTTTGTCGACGATGCCTTGCGCGAACACTATAACGATATTTATTCGATTATGTTTTTTAATCCACAAAGGTTTGTTATGTGGAGTACACAAAATAACAATGAGCAACACAGAACCACGTAGTAACACGGAGCGGCGTACCTTGAGCAGTGTCAAAAAAACGCAACTGGTCCTCTGGTCGGTCGATAAGGTCGATGTGTGCGCGCGCGTTCATTGGGTACTATACGCCTTGGAACGACAACAACGACCACGGCAGCCGTCCATGCAGTGACATTCATCGATTGCCACACGACATCGATGCCGTGCCGTTTGGCGATCGATGTGTGTGTTCCCGCTCACATTTGTTTCTTCGCGCCACCAAAGGAATTTGTTCGATCGAACTTTTATCGACTGTCCAAATTCGATGTGTGTGCGCCTAGCCATACTGGTCTCTTGGACCGGCGCGGCTCTGCATGTCAAGAAAAAACTCATTAATTTGATCAATACCAAACTTTACCTTTTTGCAATATTTTTGTATATGAAAGATTAAAACTTGTTATCTCCAACTATTAAAAACATTTACAAAAATACTTTAGACAGATAAAATAAGTAAACAAACAAGTGACTGACCTTATCTAATTTAAATAATAAAGTTAAAACAGCTATGGTTTTTATTATCTAAATTTAGATGTTTTTGTTAATGTTTGTTGAAAAATTTATGTTATATTCATGTTATTTATTATCCTTAATAAATTAAGAATTTAGGAAAAATGCATTCACACAAATATAAACATCCTAAAAACAATTAATTGTATTAAAATATCGGGAACATTTTTGAACATTCACTAATAATGTAAAATAATGTATAATTTGAACATACACCAATATAAGTTTTGCCACTTAATCTGTTGATAATGTAATGTTCATTGTCATTTTGGGTTAAATTTATTTATTATTTTATTTATTTATTTTGAATAGTGTATGAGCTCTTAAATTTGTACCTTCATGAATATAATTTGGAAAAAGTTGAAATGTTTCGATATTTAGTAGAATTTCACCCCTTTACCAAAACGAGAATATATAGAGCCAAACAGATAAAATGAAACACAAAAATAAATATATACAAAACGACTTTATGACTTACTAAACAATACACGCGTCATAAATAAGTACAATAACGGCAAAATATAGAACAATAGAAAACGTAATAAGAAAAAAAGGAAGAAGAAAAATGTTATTCCTTTTGGAACACAAGGTAATGAACTAAAATAACGCAAGGCCTTGGAGGAATCATGAAAAATATATGAATAAAAAATAATAAAAAAAAAGGATAAAATGGTATGGGAATAAAATGCGAGTGTGCACCTTCTCGCTGTGCATCCTCGATAGCATTCCCCAAATATAAACTAAATAAACTAGGAGGGGTGAACTGGCTCCCTCTTGGTCTTGGTCGCTACTAACGTGAACCAAACAAGCGAACTAAAGAGAGTGCTAATATTGAGTCATTGAAGAGTCAGGTGGGCTGTCACCCAGACAGTATGGTTTCAGAAATAACAGAAGCACTGTTGATACGGCGATGGAAATCTTCCGGGAGTTGTATAGGGTAGGGGATGACCAGAAGTGGGCACCCCTATTGCTGTTTGGCGTCGGAAATGCTTTGAACACTTTAAAATGGAAAGAGATAATGAAGACTTTACGAGAGAGGTGTCTGGATTACTTGATGAATTTGATCTTGAACTATCTGTCTGAGAGGAAAATCAAGGAGTGGTGGTTGTGGGCCAACAATACTGAGAGAGTGTCACCCTTTTCGCATTTGCGGACGACCTCGCTATGCTGGTGTGGGCAGGATAGGCGTCTTCGGTGTGCAGCCCTCGGTGGGGCCGACAATGTGCCCCAACTAGGGCGTTCCGTGCGATAATTCATGGCTGAGGAGGGTGTTTTTTAGCAGGTAGACCTCTGGTATTGACGACGATTGCATCCGAACAACAGATGCCGTCTCGGAAATCATTGTGCCAAGGAAGAATACGACATAACCGAGGCTGGAAGGCGGTTATACCCACCTTCTAGGTCCACCATGACCACCCCAACTCATAAAAGACAAAAAAAGCTTAACAGAGAGGTGTGCGAGATTGGACTCTGTGTGCCCAGCTACTCTATTGTACCTTCCACTTTCTCTTATAACATCCATTAAGCTAATCCAACCAGAAGAGAAAACCTGGCACACTACAAAAATTGACAAAATAAACCAACTAAAAACAATTTTGAAATTAAGCTGTGAGAAATTGTGCACTATATGTATTTTTAGAACAAGTTCCGAAGTGGAAATTGAAATGTCAAACTACACATATTTTAAACTGAAATTGTGGTTAATTCCCAATAAACATCAATATTATAATTTGTTTATTCTGTCTGTCTTTCCAAGGCCAGCGCCACCTATCCACAAAAACTAGTACTAATCATGTAGGACATGTAGGGCACTACACCTTTTATCTTCGTTGTTAATGAATGTATAGTGACATATAAAGATATCACATGACAGTATGTATGATAATAGACACACTATAAGGTAAATTTGTTTTACTGACCTGAAGAACGCCTCTGAGTACAAAATAAACAACTGATCGAATTCTAACATGCGACATAGCAAATGAAAGGGGAAAATACAACAAATATATTAAGATAAAAAACAAACAAGGTGACTACCAAAAGGGCACTATATAGCATTTTCGTAATTAATGAAGGTATAGTGATATACGAGATATCAGAGGACGCTATTGATAAAAATAGATTTACTTTAAGACAATTAAAGAAGGCCTCTCGCTGAGGACAAAATAAACAACTGATCGAATCCTAACATGTGACATAGCAAATGAAAAGGGAGAAAATAGCTAATATATTAAGATAGAAAAAATCAATCAGTTTTTAGTGCTTGCCACCCGTGGAGAAACTATGACAACTATAAGACTAAATTCTGTTTGTTACTAAGTGGAAAACACAATACTATAGGTTATTTATAGTGTACCGTTTTGTGCCTCTTAAAACGTTTTATTTTGAATTTTTCATATTCGTTCATAGTATCAAAATAAATCTGCCTATATTTTTGGTGTGACAAAACAAAAGCATTTTAGTAGAACATTATACATTCTAGAACTCCGATGGGATAGAATCAGGCCACATTCTGGTATTTAATAGATTAGATTAAATTCTATCATATGCTAACGACGCGCACATTATAAAAAGAATCAAGGCGAGAACCATGGAAATAATAACCGAGCTAGTAGTAGCAGCAGAACGAATGGGATTACATATAAACCAAAACAAAAGTAAATTCATGTCGATTAACACAAACTCGAGAGCTATTTCCATTCATAATAAAAATTCACTGCTAAAAAATTTAACACCTTATTAATAGTGAGTTACATATGGATAAATAGTTTCTCAAGTTACAAATCATAAAGTAAATTTAACTAGCAATGTAAGATTAAACATGCATGACATGGGTAATATTGATAATATAAAGGTATTCAAATTTGAAATATATTAAATATACGGCGGATTAAAATGTTTAAAAATTATAAATTAAAATGGTACAATTGACTAATATTCTCAAAAAATAAGTAATAACTAAAGTTAATTCTATGAAGAAATTAAACTCAATATAAAGCAAGTGAATTATCAGTGGAATGTTGTGTATGTTATTAATAAATGTAATACTATGTATATAAATTTGTAATGTAGAATAAATAGTAAACCATAAATAAATTATATTATGTAACTTACCTGGATTGCAGTCAGTAAGCAAGGAACAAATTGAGAGTAACACTTTAGAAATAGTTAAAGCTGGCGACCAGTTGTCTTTCAAGATGTCTAAACAAATAACCCCTTGGCTGTTGATATTACAATGGTAAATCCTAGTGCGGAAAGTGACCTTGGGTGGTTTAAATGGATACTCTGGTGAAAAATGTATATCCAGGAAAAAGACACCTCCTTCATAAACAGATCCAGGAGGGCCAAGAATAGTTGAAACCCATTCATAGAAATTTTCTCCTTTTGGGCCAGCACTGCAATTTGGAGGAGGATCTAGAGTTATTTCTGCTAACTCTTTCTGAATTCTCTTGGCAGACGTTCCAAGAGCTTTCGACATTTTTGGATTAGGTTTTGATTCTTTACTTTCCTTTTGCTCACCTACAGCAGCTTGTCCTCCTCTTCCACGGCCTGATCCACTGGAGCCAGCAGATGACATTGTCTAAAACTATTTAATAAATGAAGGAATTAATTAACATTATTCCATTAAGTATAACAGTTTTTATTTAACATTAAATAGGCATGATATATTTACACTCTCGGATATATCTTTACACTGATTACAATAATGCTTACAGTTGTTAAAGTTAAATACACTTCATCTAATTTACATACCAATGCACGTCATCGTCGTCATAGCCCGTGACGTCACATGATACCAACACGAAATATTTAGGCAGTAGGTGTGTTCTTTTTTAGAATCACTTTGCCGAGTACACTGACACTAGACATATTTTATTATATACGTGTAGAAATAATATTTAAAGATTTCTATTAATGTTAACTTAAAAAAATACACAATAATATGTTTCATTTAATTTGTATATATGCATTATAAAGCGTTTTTATGAAGAACATTTGTTCGGAACACACTGTAACTGTAATCAAACGAAGGTGAAATTTTGGCATAAGTTGGTAACACTTATTTGACATTTGCGGTGTTGACACTTTTTGTACTTTATTATTTTGAATTTTAAAGTGAATACTTCTTGTTTTATATTTTTACCTATTTAATAAAATCTGGTCTTTTTAGATCAAGATTAGTGTTTTATTTCAAAAATGTCACGTAAGAATTTAAATAGTCGTTGTAAAGAGATGGTAATACTTTTGCAATAATTATGTGATCTATTTGATTTAAAATGGAGTCAGGATTTTTTTATACTTTGGCAAATATGTCAACTTCGATCTCTGACGTAGATAATGACGTGCATCACTATGTAAATTAGATGAAGTATATGTAGTACTCAATATGTAATTAAAGATAACTCCAGTCCTGGAAGTTAAACTTAAAATGGGTAGTTGTTACTTAGATTATATAGATAACAATATTTACAATATGTAATAATGTTAAAATAGATACTAAGTTATAGCTATACCATTAGGTTAAACACAGACAGGCTTGCGCCGCGTCTGCGCCTCGTCGGCTGCCGCGCGGCTTAAAACAAATGAGGCGGTTTAACAGTGGCAGTAGTTTTGCCATTGTATTCGTTATTGTTAAATTTAGTTGAGTTTTGGACATAGAATGGTATGATGATGTCTCTAGAATCATCTAGTGAAAGTAGCGACGATTTGTTTTTCCTAATAAGTGCAAGTTTACTTCATATTAGATCAAAGAAGAAGAAATTCAGGTATTGAATACATCTGATAGTAAATGAATGAAAAAATAAAGAAATGTTTTACATGTTAGTTAACAAAATTAAAGATGGCCCTGAAAAGCATTTTCCGAAATAAAACTGTGGGTAACCTCTTCCCAGGCATGTTTTTTCATTATTTTATTCGAATATTCATTTGAGCGCATATTTCAAATTGCTGGCCGTGTGTGAATTTCGGTAATGAATTTATCAATGTCTATAGTTTCCATAATATATACAACATTTGGCCAAACACTCACAAAATGAATCAAATAAAACCGTTACAAAACAGTCACACGTCTGTGTTGAAGCACGAGATATCTACTACTGATGTGCCGCCAGAAGCCATAAAACCGCCGACAGAGCATGGTACTCAGCATAGGCCGCGCTGCAAGCTGACAAACGACGGCTCGTCTGTGTTGCACAACATAGGTACCATAGACGAGAGACCGCATGAAAACTACTATGAACATCTAAATCTCATAACATTTTATTAATCATATGGCATAATTAAATTTCTCCCAAAATAGTTTGTGATAAATCACTTGATTTTATCCTTTTTGTCCTATGGTAATAAACTATCCCATGCAGTTCTTTTTTTATTCTCTACCTAGTTGACATCCAGGCGCATCCAGTGTTTACTATTAATTGGTTTGAGTTGTGTGTGAATTCATTATGAAAAATGACACCAAATTATAATGCTTACTTTGCTAGTAAACTGCATGGGTTGAAAAATCAAAGGCTGTAGACTGTGAGCATTTTTTACATTATTAGCCTTTTTAGTGTCAGTAATTGCAAAAATAGTAACAGGTAGCAATGAATGGTGTTAGTAACACACTTTAAAAAAGATTGTAGAACAAATTTTGTTTTTAAAAAATGATTGGTATATCAGGTCATTGATACCAGGCAAACACTAAAAATTTTGTACAAATAAAGGTATGCATGTTTTTGGAAAAAATCAGCTTTATTGTTTTTGAAAGTATATGCCTTGCAGATCAATATACTTTTGTATTAAAACAAACCAATCATTGAAGCATTTATTATGCTAGTCCAAAACAGATGTCTCAGAAATGAGATTCTTGTATGTTTCAATCACGTCATCTGGTGTCTTGAAACATTTGTCACATAGTTTGTTTTTGATTCTCAGGGACACAATAGTGATGCAACAGTAGTTTGTTGTGCAAAACTTTTGGTTTGTTGTATGTACGTTGTAAAAAAGTATGTTAAAAATTAAATTTATTGTAATTATAATAATGTAATATAGAGTCTGCGGAAGAACACAGACAACTTTTAACATTAAGTCCTCCTATGAATAGAGTTAAAAAATCCCATAGATATAAGAACCAAATAAATAATGGTTAATACATATAAAAATGTGAATGAAGATAATTCTGCTTTATAGTTACCAGACATTCAACAAAGGGTTGCAGATATGTACAAACATATTATTGCATGTAAATGTACAAACATATTATTGCATGTAAATGTACAAACATATTATTGCACTGAAAACAAACCAAAATTGTTCAAAATCAGTAGATGCTGTAGATGACTTTGATAAGGTCCATTAGTATTTTTTCTGTAATGAAATTCCTTCAATTGACAAAATCCTAAGAGGTGTAAATAATGATAATGACTTACCAAATTTTAAGAAAACCACATTTTAAAAACTTACGAAAATTTAATTTCAAATTTCAAAAATGTGGAAGAAGCAGTTTGCTACTCAACAAAAATGAAATTATGCTATTACAGTGAAAATATTTGCAAGAGATAAGACAATATGGAGCTGAAAATAGAACAATTTATTACTTAGATGGGACATGGATAAATGCTGGCTATACAAAATCAAAAGTTTGAGTTAGATAACATTTAATTGTTTAATTATTATCTGTAATATCACTTTTAATAAAAGTTAAAAGATTAATAACTTGTCCCATCAGAAGTGAGATTGGTTTTGCTCTGGATGCACTGCTGGTTTTTTAATTGAGCAAAACTGGAGAATACCATGAGGAGATGGATGGCAAGTCATTACAAAGTTTGCTCCAAAAGATTTTGCCAATACTGAAAGAAAATCAAATTATTTTTATGGACAATGACTCTTACTACTGGCTTCACTCAAAAGACATTCCCTTTAAAGAAATGTTATTAGAAGTACGTAAAACTTTTAGAAATTGTTAAATAACATTAAATGCGAATATAATAAGTACATAGTAGAAGAAAAGGTAAGAGGTACAAATAGAATACGTTTAAGGTTGCCACTGTACCACTGGATTCCAGTCAAGAATTATGTTGCACCCAATAACACATTTAATTTTGCTGACATTAAAAATGTGTTTCATGAAGCTATGTCTGTTGTAACTATAGGTTCATTGATTTAATCCAAGTAATATTTGATAATGTTTGTTCTGATTGTTTTCATTTTTAAATTTAATTTTCTATCTAAACTTTTTGGAAAATATAGTATAGAAAAAACCTTTATATTAACGACCTCAAATCAAATTGATAGTTAAATTGGTTTTCAACTAATTGCTGACTTCTTTTAATCAAAAGTCAGTTTAATCTAGGTCAGCCTCTCTAATTAGTCTTTTTTTCAATGTTTAAACATTTATTAACATTTGAGAGACAATTTCTTGGTATCCATGACAATATATATTGTAGTATCATCTAGCATATCAGAATCACCACTCAAGTCTTTCATTTTCTTTCTTTCAGTGAGTTTGATAGGTAATTCAGTATTTTTGTGAGTTGTACAATTGACAAATTTGTAAATATATTAGTATACCTACATATATATATACATCCCGCTATCATTAGAGCGTCTTTACACTCTCCATGTATAGAGCGTCCGATTTTTAAAAAACAGTAAGAACAGCTTTGTTTCTCCTATACAAGTAATATACTCTATATGAGTAATATGTTTCAAAAATGTTTTGCAAGAAAAAACTGATAATTGTACATTTGATCATCAATGGAGCGTCCATCACATTTCCCGCCAATAAGGCGTCCTGTTGTATATAAAAATCATCCATCTAACCGCCAATAAAGCGTCCCTATATACACTTTGCGTTCATTTAATAGACGATAGAGCGTCCTGCGATGTTGCCATTATCTTCATTATCTATTATATGTTCGTATATTTTAGCTCCGGCAGAAGTACGTATTTTAAAAAATAAATATTTAAGATATATTATGCGTTAGGTGCGATAACTAAATAAATATTAATACATAATTTATTTTTTTTTCTGGCTGAATTTGTAAATAGTATTGAAAAAAGAAAAACTGAAATACTCAAAAGTAACAGAAAATATATTTATGGGAATAAGCCAGATTAATTATAATTAAAATTACATTTTTTTACAATGACGTTTCGAATTCCAAACCGAAAAGCCTTTTTAAAATATTAGAATTTTCTAAAAAAAGCTACAAACATTTGTTAACCCTAATTGGCCGGCACACAAGATGGCATATCAGATATGTTAATTAATTGTTACTCAAGCCGTTAAGTTATGAAATCTGTATTATAAATATATTACCGTTGAAGGTTCAACCGCCAATCATGCCATAAAAAATTACAAAATGTGTTTTCCTTAATATTTCAAATTTATAGCGATCATAGACAAATATTACCAAAAATCGAATATTTATTAGATTGAGTACATTTATTTCATATGTCAAATGCGACTAGATTTTGAAATTTCTAATCGGTTCCTTTTTGTTAAGAAAAAAAAAATCGTTATTTAAATGGTTTGCAAAATTTTATCTTAAATCATTAGTTTTAGCTAGGGAGCCTATGCAATATGGAGCGCCACTGACTACA